TGCAACTAAGCTTCTCTTGAATCAGGCCTTGGGGAAAAAACAGGACGTTCGCAGTTCGCATCGGTGGGGGCAACAAGTGGTACGTAGGTACACCTGTACAGATTTTTTATGACAACATGTAAACTCTGTAACGAAAGTTGCTCACTTGTAACGTTTGCCAGCTTCACAATAGTTGGCAGGTTTCACCAAAATGAGGCCTGTTAACATGAACCGAAGAAAAGGAACCAGCAGGAGTGAAATGTGCCCCTCCCAAAGCGAACAGCGCCCAGTAGAGTTTTGTGTTCCATAGGGTCAGGAACCAGTTAGTATTGTCTCAAGCCTTATACCCTAATATAAATGGGAAGGACGACAGATTTGGTTGCTGAGGGGAATCCGTTCTTTGGCACTTTGGAGCAAGCGTGTGGTGACTAGCGCCTTGCCGCTATATGAATTGAAGGGTATTTTTTCATAGAAAGATATAAAAAAATACAAAAACACATGCGGAGCGGTCTATGCGGTGAGTTTACCTACTCCGCGTAACCTCCGTCACCCCTCTCTCCCCTCACACCTAAATAGATAATGGTTCTCCCCTCCACCAAGGTATTTCCAGTTTTGCCAAAGGAGTTCTTGAAATGCCTCTCAACGTTACCAGGACCGTCGTAGCACTAGTCACTTCTTGAATTCCAATTCCATAAGCTAATTGAGACTTGACAATACGATCCGAGCTATTAATAACTCGCCACCCGCTTTGTTTGGGGCAATAAATTCCAGCGCTAGGAAATTGAATCGAAATGTTTGAATGGAAAACTTGGCTGTTTCTTCTTATCAGACTCATTCATCAGCAATGGAGGGAAGAGAGATTGACTTGAATGACGCACTTATGATCAGCGGGGTCATATTTTGAAACTTAGACATTTGCAGAAAATGTAGCCGCACCGTCGTGATTTCTTCCTTCTTACATAAGGTGCTGTTCGGCTCGGGAGGCCTATTCTAGCTCTTTTTCCTGGTTCATATTAAGTAACGGGTCACATTTTGGTGAAACCTGTAAAGCCTTGTGAACCTCCAAGATGGAACAGGTGAGCCGCTCAGTTTACAAGAATTTACAGGTTTCGGCAAGGTAGCGGTACATTGCTCAGACAAGAAGCGCATCGTTTTGCCCCCACAACTGAGAATTCAGTATCGTGATTATATATTCGCATATTTTTTCGCTTAGTGTGCTTCCTGTCTTAGCGTGCTGAATATTTGTCGAATCCGTCTCCGGGTAAACCTTGGGCGAGGGGAGAAATTTCGACAAAGTCTGTGGATTTTCGTTTGCAGACGCTGGTCATGAAGGTCAGCAGTGCCATGCCAGAAGCTTCCAGTCGAATTCGACTTTTGCATGACTTACGCTGGTCAGTCATAAGTCATTCATTAGTCGAACTCGAACCGAAACTGGACATGGTATGGTCGTTGTAAAAGTCTTTTTTTTGCTGAGTCATTTTTTTCTCTGAGACGGGTCTGGTAGCAATTAGCCGAGTCCGAAAAGAGGAGTAGATAGTTGTCTGTTGGGATGTTAGGTCTTGGAACGTATGTCGAAAACTCGCTACCTACTTCACTAACGATTTATTCTACAGGGTTTGTGTCCTGCGGATGAGGAAGGCGTTCAGGGGGTATGGGTTTGGGTGCACGCGCATTTTTCCTTTCGGCAAGCGACTAGACTGTACCACATCGTTTGTATCGGCCGTTTTCCAGCAGCTGTAACCTCTTCAACAACTGGTAGAGAACGGGGTGGCGGGCCGTAAACTTTTTATCTCATGACACGCCTATCATGCGCAGCGTGACACAGGGTGCCCACTTGTGGTATTTGTAACTGTCCAGTAACTGCCTTAATGTGTCTTGAAAAAGCGTCTAACCATCACGCTTGTAGTGTTGGACTTTTTCGCACGCAGGTGAAAAACACCGAGTTGTCCAAGGTACAGGTTGGATCCCTTTGCATCTTAAGCTACCAGCGCGATGATGCAAATTGGTCTTTGCATGGATTAATGACAGTACTGAAATCACATCTGTGGTTTCCATCATTCATATAATTTCAAAGGGAGAACGCCCGGAGACGAGTAACTTTCGCCCGAACAGCTAGTCTTACTGTGAGAGTACACTCATATGTCTTGTCAGAGTAACGAGCATTTTCGAGCTCGACCAGAAAAGTTTGATGCCGAAGTACAACCCTGGGTTCTTAGGGATTTGATCTGTGCGACTGGGTTGGATATGTGACCTAACACTTCTTTTACATTACCTGCATCTTCTATTCCCTCGTGGGCTGTAATTGCGCCCTATAAAGTTTTGGAGATCTCAGCGTATTTTGCAACTGAAAGGAGTTGAAAAAAAGGTTTGAAAAAGGACCAAAATGGAGCGTGGGCAGCACTCGCATCTCCTAGGTGCTGACAAATGGCCCTCCTAGTAGTATGTAGCCATTTTGCGTCTTCTCTCTCTTCACCGATTATGAGAGAAAGGGTAGTCAACGGGGAAGAATTACCTGGTCGTCATTGTGCCTTGGGTGCAGTTTTGCTAAAGGACAGCATATGGCGTCGTCCGATCCTGGGATGCACCGTGCAGCGAGTTGACTAGTAAAATGACCTGCACAAAGGCGATTCGCTCGGAAATCCCCCTCCCCCCCTTCTTCCCCGAGGCAGATCTTATACCAACTAGCCGAGGGAAAATGAGGAAGGAGCCTGGTTGGTTTGAGCTGTATGGGTTCCGGGTGCACTTATTCTTGATTTATGGGGTGTTACTAGAAGTCATTACCCTAGTATTCATTACAACACGGTGTCGGTTTAATGACCGTTTGGCCCATCGGATGATATATTCCATAACGTGTTCTTAGCAATTTGTCATGGGTGTGCTGAGACCGTCCACACTTTTTCTTCACAAAAAATGATTTTACTCTGACCAGTACTTATCAATGCCCAGTCGTTTGCAGAAGTTGCCAAAAAACGATCTCCTAGGTTCCAGTGTTTAATCTGTGGCGAGCTCCGGTGAATAACATTCTTCCGTTATATAAGGCGAAATTCTCGAGTGGTAGTGGTTTTTGGGCAGGGTTTGTACGCTAAATGGGTCAAGGAATTCACGATCATTATGGATTCATAAGTTGTCGGTTATGTTTCACGGCTAGATTACTACCTTCGGTTTGGTGGCTGTGAAGGTAAGATTTTGGGGGTTAGCTTGAAATAACGTTGATCGCGGTGGTCCGAAGTTCTCTTCACTCGGAACGGTGAAAGGTCTTCACTACGATAATGGAAAATGGGAAATTTGTTGCTCTAATCGTCTGCGAGTCTTTAGAACCGCCGATCTCGCTGGATCAACAATCCGTCCGTGAAAGGAATAAAGCTTCTAACATTCATCAATCCCTGTTGGAATGAGCTACGCATCTGCTTCCATTGAAAATATTGTGGCGTTGGATTATGCAATGACCTACACGATTCATTCTATGGACCCGTCAGCATTTTTGTCCTAAACGAGAAATCTGGTGCCTATTTACCGAGCCTGGGGGAGTAGAGGCTCATTTGGTTTGAGCAAGAGACGATCCGAGCTGGACGTCGCGGTTTGCGCCTCAGCTTGTCTCTACACCATCCCTGCCTCGCTAAGGTAATCGAGATGAATGATAAATCCGTAGCACGTCCTGCCGTTCGACAGACACTATCACAGAACTACGACTCCCTTCTCCGAATTTCCTCCCTGATACGACCTCCCTTCCTCATCCTCCATCCTACTTACTATCCCCCAGAATTCTCGCCTATTTGTCTCTTCGGAGAGTGACTTTTTTTTCCGAAATTCTGATTGTTTCCCAAAAAAATGCCACTGAGTGGGACAGGGGTTACGCTACTGTGCACGTTCGCCAAGAACGGTAGAACAAGAAAACGTTCAGCTCAAAAGTGAAGGACACGGCGTCCCTTCCCTCCCACACATACGACCAATACGGACCCCCTCCCTCACCCGCTTCGCTGGGATAATCGAAAAACCAACAACACTGTGCATAGAGTAGGTTCTCATGTAGTGGCCAGGGTAGATTGCCTCTCAGTGACTCCGTATGGACTCGCCCTGAGAAGGTGCGCGCGCCGCTCACTTGTCACTTCCTTCTAGAACCTAGGCAAGCCGTAGGTTTGCCTCCGTCGCGTATGGGGCGTGTGAAAGGGCTTACGCAGCCTACGGTACGTCCAACGGTATTTCGTCCGTCCCGTACGTGTTAGCAGTTGTTATTCATAAATTTAAGTGCCGCCTTCAGGCGATGAATTCCAAAGTACTCCTTCAACCCTTGAGACTTCAAACGGGTATATGAAGAACTCCAAAATCATGGAGCGCCTGTAATTACTGAGCTGTTTTAGCCAAGGGCAAGGAGTTCCTCAAAGGCATATGTACCCCAGATGAGCCATTAAAGACCGTACCAACTGCGTGGGCAGCGGTGGTGTAGTTGCACGTGGTCCAGCGTTCAAATCCTGGTGTCTTCCGCCTCTACTGAGTGAGTTTCCCAGCTCTGGCGATTAGTGTCAGACTCATCTGGGAATAAGGAACAAGGACTTGTACAGCTGCTAGCCCACGCACGTCATTGTGTAGCCCACATCGCATCCAGTGAAGCGCTAGGATTCAGCTCTATGGCAGCCAACAGCTTCCCTTAATTTTGGGTAAGATTCCAATCTGTCAAATTCGCTGGGCGATAAGATCGAATGAGGAAGTGAGCAAAAAACAAAGGTTGCCGTACATCGCAAGATTATCTGTGTTACACCGTTGGATAAACTGGAACTGCCAACGAGAAACGTGCTTGCTATCGGGGCAATTGACCTTCTCTCGCTTGAGATTTTCGGCGCGACCTAGCTTGAAGGCTAAAGCTTGACTCGCCTCACGCGCTCATGCACGCGTAGACAGGCAGCCAGCAACCAGGGGGGCTGACAGGCATCAAACACACTCCAAACTTGTTCGACGACCACATTTGGGATTCCAAAGCTGGTGTATGTATTGACGATCCCGGATCGATTACACGCATATTTTCATACCTGTAGAGTAGGGGTTAGCTATAGAAGGCCATCGCAGGAGTGCTGGGGATCAAAGAGTATGGATCTCCTCGTAACTGTCCTGAAAATTGTCCAAAAAGTCTCAAGTCCCGTGAAGAGCTGATTGTTAGCCTATACTACAGCAGTTAAGGTTTTCCATTCAAAAGATCGAAGTTCATTCTCAATGTGAGATCTCTCCTGTGCACGAGCCGATGATCTCGATCGTTTGGTCGCAGC